ATAGTCAGACCACTGCCACCTTCATCCCTCCTAATTAAATTATATTAAATGAATTTGCTAGGAGTCTCCACACTCTCTATCCATACCATTCTTTCAGTACAATGAGTGTAAGGATGGCTCCTTGTGTGTTTCTTCAACTTTTTTAAAACTGTAAAATATCTGACAGAAAGCACCCAAAGTTTGTGATATGTTCTTGGCAACATTCATTATTTTCAGGGTGAATAAGCATCTTTCATCAATGATATGGAAAGTCATACCTATCAAATATACAGTACCATTAAGTCCTTGAAGCTGTTGCCATATTGTGTTTCATTGGTCTGTTTATGCCTACATGTTTATCACAGTGTTTTAATTACTTGCTACTTTAAAATACATTATAATATCTAGTAGAACAAATGTTTCTACACCAGTTTGCTTTTACAAAAAATTCAGTAGTCTATCACACATTTATCCCTCCAGATAAATTTTAGAAATATTTTTCAACATGTATTATAAGGTGAGAAGTTAAAGGCGGTTGAGAGCACTTGTGATGTTGATAGATAAAAGACACAAAAATAAATTTAAGGAGAATTGACATTATTAAAATATTGAGATTTCCTATCTAAGAAACAAATGTATTTTGCCATTTATTAAGATCTTGTGTTCTTCAATAGGATTTTTATATTTGTTTTAGTATGGGCCTTGCATAATACTTTTTAATTTTATGCTTGGGTGTTTTTTATCTTTATTCTTGTTATGATTATGAACTAGAAAATTTCTCCAATATATTTTCTAAATGATGATTGTTGGTATATGTTAAAATGTATCATTTATTCATTTGTAACTGGCCACCTCACCTAACTCTTATTATTTCCAAAGTTTCTCAATTGATTTTTAAATATTTCCTAAATGGCTAATCATGCCATCAACAAATAATACTATTTCACCTTCTTTTCTTATTTGCATTACATTTATTTTTGTTTGATTAATCCCATTGTCTCTAAGTCATGTTGTACTAGTGAAAATAGACAACTTTTCCTTGCTTATGAAATTAAAAGAATCACTTTTGTTTCACTATTAAGTATGAAGCTGGGTATTGGTGATTTTATCTCCCTATGATTCTATGTTATGTTAAGGAAGCATCTTTCTAGTCTTATTTTTTTCACCATAGCATGTTTATCAGAAATTGATTTTGATGGGCCGGCTCCGTGGCTTAGCGGTTAAGTGCGCACGCTCTGATGCTGGCGGCCCGGGTTTGGATCCCGGGCGCGCCCCAAGGTACCACTTCTCCGTCCAGCGCGAGGCCGAGTCCCACGTACAGCAACTAGAAGGATGTGAACCTATGACATACAACTATCTGCTGGGGCTTTGGGGGGAAAAATGAATAAATAAAATCTTTAAAAAAAAAAAAAAAAAAAAAAAAAAAAGAAATTGATTTTGAATTCAGTAAAATAGTTCTCAACCTCCATCAAGATAATATCCTTTTTCTTTTATATATTACTTTGAAAAACTATGTAAATATATATTCTAATGCTAAATCATGCTGATTGAATTCCTGAGTTGAAGTCCATTTGTTTATGTGTTTTATGCTTTATATGAATCAAGATTCTATTTAGTAATGATTTATGATTTTATAAGTGAATCTGCTATGAATTTTTTGTCATGCTTTTTGATATTTTCGCATCAGGATCATGCCAGATTAATACACGCATTAGAAAGCATTTCCTTTACATTTATGCTATGGAAAATCTTAAATATTTAAGCAGTAAGATGCATGAGTCTTACTGGGGGATAATTCTCTGATATTATCTTTTATCTTTTATTTCTTCTTTTATTCATCCATTTAATTTTTGTAATATATATACAACTTATCATATATAAAAATTATATATAATTATTATATATAATATATAATAGTATGTATATACCCATAAATATATATATTTATTCATATATCTATGTGTACATATATTTTTATTTATTTACTTATGTATATACATATATATATTTATATATTTATAAAATATATGTGTATCTTTAAAAAACTTTGTATATATACAATACACATAAATTCTCAGCCCTTCAGCTAAGGTTCTGAGATGCCACTGGTCTCCTTCTCTTATTGTTATGCCACATTTCCCATCTTTATCACTCAAAATTAGGGTATATTAGTTGAATTTGCCAGAACTTACACTTCCTACTCCTAACTTGCCACCACTCCTTCAAATAGGAGAGTTTAGTGCTGGCTTCCTGAATGTTCCTTCAATTCATTTCAAAGTGTAAAATATCTGGCAGAAATTATTCAGACACTTTACAGTATGATAAACTCAATGGTCTTAACATTCTTTATTTTCAGAGTTGGCAAAGTCCCATTACGGCATCATCAATTTTTGATTTTCTTTTTTTTTTTGTGAGGAGGACTAGCCCTGAGCTAACATCCAATGCCAATCCTCCCCTTTTTCTTTGAGGAAGATTGGCCCTGGGTTAACATCTGTGCCCATCTTCCTCTACTTTATATGGGATGCCACCACAGCACGGCTTAACAAGTGGTGCGTCTGTGTGCGCCCAGGATCTGAATGTCCTAACCTGCGAACCCGAGGCTGCCGCAGTGGAGTGTGCGCATTTAACCGCTGTGCCACCAGGCTGGCCCCAATTTTTGCTTTTCTTAAGTCACTGTGCTTTGTTTGAGGATGGTGTTTTTCTTTTTTTTTTTTTCAGTTTGCTTTTGCATTACCCCATTTTATGGAAGTCAAAACATAAGCTTTTTTCTTTTCTTAACTCTGCAGATAAACTAACATAATTTGGAGTGTAGAATACTCAAACTTACATTCAAATTACAAGTACATTACTAGAAACAATAAGTGACAAGATATAAAAAGCCTCATTCTTGTCATGGCTTTACATAATTTGAGAATACATAAGGTGCATATTATAGCATAGTACTATGTTCACTTATTATGCAATCATGAGAAGACACTTTTCAGAGTCATATGTAAATAAATCAATGCTTATAAATATACAACACTAATTGTTTTCAATAAGATTCCATGGTGTTTTGTGAAAAGAAGCAATGAAGAAAGAGAAAATTTGATAGAAACCATTTAAATAATTTTAGCTCCTCAGAAGTTTTAAAGAAGTAGGTGGAAGCAGTTCATTTCTCTCTTGGAGATGTTCTTAATTCATATTTTGTATCATTGAAAACTTGAAAGGTAATATAGGTTCTATTAGGTGTTTCTATTATTACATCATGAAACAAAACCAGGTTTTTTGGATCAAAACTGATGGGTTTCTTCCCAATTTTTCACCTACTTTCCAGATATCTTTATGTTCTATAGCTGTTATTGAAGGCAAAAAAAATCTCTAAATTTTGGGGGGATAATTTTGAACCACCATGATATTCCTTTTCAAGGGGATTAATAAAAGGGTCATTAAGAATCAAGGACCTAGGTCGTGTCACTGAAAATAAAATATAGTGATTTAAATATGTACAATTCTGTTAAACCTTCAGCAGAGGTCTGAATCCCAGAAACACAAAGAGCATATAGAAGCAACAAGTGAGAGAGGGTAAGTTACTAGAAACCATACTGACAAGAGTGATTTCAGTGAGCATGAGTCATGAATGTATTGATGGAAGATAATTTTAGGAAGTGAGCTTTTACTATGAATAAAAAATCTTATCTTCTGTGTTCCTGTAGCCCAAAAGACCAATGGAAGTAGTAGCACTCTCTTCAAGAGCATTCCAAAAGAGATCTTCAATTATAGCTAACATATGCACTTAGTGGTTGTTGGGAGCTTTGCTAAAACATCCATTATATTCTATTGTATACTTCAATAGGTCTCCCCTACAGTAAATTTTAAGCTGTGACAGTCAGCACCAGTAAGGTTACCAATAGCCAAAGGATCAGCAGATGATATTTTGATGTTCAGCCCAGTGACACCAAATAATTCTTAAGGGTAAAAGGATACTGTCTTTGCCAAATAGAAACTATGGATAATATATGATGCTTAAGATGATGGCCAGGAGTTTCCTCTGAAAAAAAAATCTCTGAAATTAACAATAAGTAATATCATACAATATCCTTGAGAAGTCAGAGTTCATGATTGTTTTCTAAGTGGATTATAGTGTTCCTGAAAGAGCCAACACTTGTTTTCAGCTATCTGAAATTAAAATGTACGATTTACAAATTATTTTCATCTGATTTAGGGCGTAATTTCCATGTACTTAAACTAGCAAGAAAGATTTAAAAAATCTAAGTTTGTGATCACCTTTATTTCTTGAATCCTATGCAGTTCTATGTTTCTACAAGACCCCTGAATTTCTGACTGAAGCTTCAAAAAGAATCATCACAACTGGATATCAGAGCCCAAAGTACAAACATAAAGACCACAGTGGCACAGTGAAGTCACACCAAAACCAAACATTTCAAGACCATAGAGAAGAAAAATCAAAGAGGTGGGATGTCAAAAACAAATAACTAGTTAAAAATTATTCTTAAATCAGCTTTGAATATGGAAGGGAGGAATCAGGGTACATCACTTACATTCTCCTTTTATTGAGGTTAATATCCAATAGATAAGTTGATTCTGATGTATGTGGATGCACCAACGATGCAATTATAAGGAATAAGAAGCAAGAACAATATCGTAGTAAAAGCAAACTGGAAGAAAGTGAAGAGCCTATGCATAAGCCAGATTTAACCAATAGAAACAGAGTTTATTAGCAGAAACTGGTGACAGCAGCTGAGAAATAAAATTCTGGAGAGCTATAAACTGATGGAGCGAAAATAAGTGCCTTTGAAAAGATGGAAAAAATACAGGACTTGTAGGGAAGAGGGAACCAGAAAGGGGGTGGGGGCGGCACGAGGGGCAGACAGGATGTGACGTCAGAAAGCCCGTTGGCTCCAAGCTGTTAGCAACACTGTTTATCTGCCCGTGCCTTCTCTACTGGCTTTCCCAGACCTACGTTAGTGCTAACTCAGCCATCCTCAACTCCCCAGATAGCGAAGACTGGCCTCACGAACATGGAGGCTGCTGAAGAAAGCCCGGTGGAGATCCACTGCCCCTCTCAGGACAGCTCAATCACGTCGGATAATAACACTGGTACAGATGAAGTTCTTGACTCACTAGAGGGCAAGAGGAAGCGGAAAGGGTACTTTCCAACCAAGTCCGTGAAGATCCTCCGTGATTGGCTGTATGAGCATCGGTTTAAGGCGTACCCTTCAGAGACAGAGAAGCGAATACTGTCAGAGCAGACCAGTTTGTCTTGCCTGCAGATCTCTAATTGGTTTATCAACGCTCGCAGACGCGTTCTTCCGGAAATGCTTCAAGAGGATGGAAACGATCCCAACCAGATCACCACGTACGACCAAAAAGGCAGGGCTGCTGATGTGACCCACCAGCAAAGCACGGATCCATCTATGGCCGAGTCAGGGCCCGAAGATCCGGAAAAGATGCAGTGCCTGCCCCTGAGCCCCCTACCAATGGGCCAGGAGTCAGAGGAGAAGCTGCTGGATTCAGAGGAGAAGCTGCTGGATCCAGAGTCGGCCCCAGGCCAAAAGCTCTCTCCAAAGGCCCAGCCAAATAAAAAGGTCAAGATTTCCACCAGCAGGACCTTGCTTCTCTCTTCTCCCGAACCTGTGTCGACAGAGGAGTACCAGGATTTCAGCAGCTTCCAGCTGCTGGTGGATGCAGCCGTACAAAAGGCTGCCGAGCTGGAACTACAGAAGAAGCAAGAGCCCAAACCATGAGTTCCCGTGGCCCTAAAAAACCCAAGTAGTCAGTCCCTTGTCTACTGTGGTGGATCCACTCATGCTTCCACAAATAATTTATAGTTTTACCTTCTATAGAGACATTTTTCCTTCTAGGGGTTTTATGAGAAACTTCACTACATATTGAGACTCTATTCTGCCAGATATTTCAGTGTTTCCAGATGGAATGTATTAACACTACAGCAAAGATCTCTTCTCTATTTCTTCTACTTCCTCCTGGATTTAAAAGCTTCGTGCAATCAGACCAATATATCTGAGACTAGACACAATGCTGAGACTTCTTCAGAGGATGTTTTGCCTTTTCTAACAGACTTTTTGGTCCAGGAGCTGCTGCAGATACCAAGTCACCCCTCTTTCTCTGTCTCTCTCTAACTTTCCTTGCTTATTACCATGGACGATGGAAAATAAAGTCTCTATAAAAGATGGCTATAGCACCACTGGCTTCATTTTAATGTTGGAGTTTTTGTGAAATTTTCAACTCTATGTTTTCCTTTGTACAGATTATTGACAATCTTAAGGAGTAGCTGATTTCTGCAGGGGGATAAGCATGAGAGCCAAAATACAGTGAATTTATAAACATGTTACAGATAAGGGTGAACTCTTATTTAGGGTACCAGTGAGAAGTATGCGGTAAAGATAAGGAAATTCCAAATGGTAATTTTCTACTGTTGGTTGTTGGATAGTTGGTTTTAGAGAATATTTTTTATTAGTTTTAATTCTCTGCATCAGAGGAAAAAGGTAAAAACAACAAAAAATAAGAAGCAGGAAAACTGACCAAAAGGTCCCCAGAAGAAACAGAACCAGAGAAAGATAATTTTAAAATAAGGAAAAGAAAAAAGTGAATCAATCTTTAACATTTTATGAGCAAAAAAAGAAAGTAGAATTAGGTATTCTGTTGTTTTTGTTTGGGTTGGTTTTGCCTTTTTAATACATTTATTTATTTTTTCCTTTTAAAATATTTGGGTTGGTAGGGGTGGAAGTGAGAATGACAAAACTTCAGGCAGCTCCCACTTGGAAATAATCCTGTTGTCCTGTAGGGGTAGCTCTTCCCACTGCCTCAAGTACAGGCAGATTTTTCAATAGGAACTGAAAATTATTCTTCCAGAAAGCTGTAATTCAGCTTCTTTGATCTTAGAGAGCTAAAACTTGAGGAATCTGGGGCTAGAAATTGGAGTCTAACCTCGGTTTCTGCTCCTGCCCTAAAGTGAAATAGACCATGTTTGGTCTCTACGTTTAGGCCCCATTTTTTGTATTGTTATCTAATTACTGGCGATTTTCAATACAGGACACCCTACCTTCTTTAAACATATTAAGAAACAATAATCACAGGTTATTACTCTGTATATGATAATTTTGCATTGCACCAGGAAAGAAACAGGGGCATATTCCCAAACTGCTGTTCCTGAGTTCCATTTTCATCGTGCACTTTGCAATGGTGGATTGTATGCTATAGTAGTGGTGTAGTTTTCATTGCATTATGTGGGAAGAAAGTAGGGGGAACTGTTCTTTGGTTTCTGCCTTGGTTTTCTTGTGCAACAAAAATGGAGAAGCATACTTTTTCAGTTAAATTAAGAAAAATATAGGAAAGAACTTTTATTGTTCAAGTTTTTGTCAAATACATTTTTTATTGGTTTTAATATAAAAGGGTGACTCACTGTCATTGCTCCAGACTTTAACCACTCTTCAGTTACAGCTTCTTTATTTCTGCTATTTTTTAGGAGTAAAGCTTAGAAAGCTTTAACCTACTGCACTCTGTGGAGAGAAATGGAAATAATTTTCTAAAGAAACTGCATTTTTTAAACCTAACCACCAATTCCATGTTACTTGAGTTTGAGAACTATATAAAATCTGGCGGGAAGAATCAGTTTCTAACACCATGGTCTTGCAGAAATAAAAAAAAAAAAGTGAAGGTAGCATTGAGAAAATAGCTTGACTGGGCTATTTTCTTGGACTTCTATTTGATATCAGATTTCTATTGTTATTAGTGGACTGAGAAAAGTATATAGTAGAAAAATTTAGGATGAATGGAAAGTCCATAGGAGATGGTTCTCACAAGGAATAGAGCGTAACTGGTTATGAAAATTGCTCTGTTCAGTGTTTTTTCTCTCTCTCTGTCTCTCTATCTCAGATGATTTAGAAGTGAGACTCACCAACGTGTACTCCAAGAATCTCATAGTACAAGTATTTGTATAAATGGATGTCACATCAATGTGTTTTAATCCTCTGGTATAGGAACACATTTATAAACAATTTAGTCATAAGGGATATCTTCACCCTTTGGTTCTTTCATATCTCTCAAGAGTACAACTTGCAATATCAGAGATTTTCCTTTAGTTTATTTATTTATGAAGTCTAGAATGCCTTGCACAGTTTTTATAATGTACTCTAATATATGCAATGCATCTCTTTGGAGAGAAAACATGGGAGTGGGATTCTCCTGGGTATTTATTCAGTGAAGACTAAGACAAAGAATAATATTCAATCTATCATCTGCTAATCTCTCCAGCCAGCAAGGGCATACTTTGGGTACCAGGATTAAGCAATTCCAGTATGTTTCCTTTAAGTCACTGCATTAAAACATCTTTTTTTTGGTTTTCAAATATTTCCCAACACTTATTTTGACTAATTTTAGCTACTATGTGTGCTTTATCATAGTTCAAGGACCTAGACCCTTCTATCATTCTTTCTGAAAAATGCTTCTTTATTTATGTGTTTATTGTTAAAAATATTCCCTAGACGTTTTTTGCTTTCTTAGTTCATCATGCTAAAAGAAGGACAGTAAGAGCAAGGTAAGCATGGACTTAGCCACCAATTCCCAGAATGTTAGAAAGAGGTCACATCCTTTGGAGTAGATAAAAAGCAAATTGCTGCAAGATCAAGGAATGTGGTCTTTCACATAAGAAGGCATATAATTATATTCAATTTTCTAAGTAGTTATGGATGGTTACTTGGCACTTTTAGAACCTCAAGAATTGGCACACACTAAAACATAATCAAAAAGGACTTTTAAAAAATCATGAGTAACTGGCCGGCCCCGTGGCTTGGCCGTTGAGTGCGTGCGCCCCGCTGCTGGCGGCCAGGGTTCGGATCCTGGGCGCACACTGACGCACCACTTCTCCGGCCATGCTGGGGCCGCATCCCACATACAGCAGCTAGAAGGATGTGCAGCTATGACATACAACTATCTACTCGGGCTTTGGGGGAAAAAAATAAAATGAATAAAAAAAAAAATTATGAGTAACTAAGCCAAGATCAATTTTAAAGGAAAGGTAAAATTCACTGGCAGAAACCATTTAAGATGAAATCCATGAGACCAACTATGGTCTTTCACAATATAATTTTTGCTACTACTTGTATAGGCAGAATGCCAGGCTTGATCATCTATAAGCCTAATCAAGAATGGCTCTTAATGCTTTCTATAAAATGCAAATTGGAAATGTGATAAACATATTTTAGAACATCTCTTTTATTTGGACTTTTTGGCTAATTTTCTTTTTCAATGATGTTTTCATTTTGTTTTAACAATTCTTATTAGCTAAATTATACTGGTGATATTTGGAGCTTTTAAGTTTGCATTCTTTTATATGAAAAAGACAATAACAATGGGTGACCAATGTTTTTCTACTAGATATTCTAAATGTTGCAACCTGCAGTTCTTTGTTATACTAATGTATGACAGATGATTGTTCTTTATGGGGCACTTATATATATATATAACAGAGAGGTTTCAGATATTAAAATCCTGACCAGAGATTAGTAAGTACCTTGGCTCACTATATAATATGATGAAAATTTTTATTATTTATTATGATTAGTTATTATTATTACTATCCTTTTGAAAATGCTAAAATTCTTTCCTTCCTATCCCAAAAATAGCCTAAAGAATCCTAATCCTCATAATCTTATAGCTTTTGAGAATATAATATAGAAAGCATTGAATAAGAAAGTGTTGAAATCAGTGATAACTTTTATAAAATCTTTCAAAGAATAAAAATTCCCTTGGTGCATGCTACTGTAAATTTAATATAAAGTGCTTATGTTAACATTAATTTCTTTTGTGTGCGTGAGGAAGATCAGCCCTGAGCTAATATCCATGCCAATCCTCCTCTTTTTTTGCTGAGGAAGACTGGCTCTGGGCTAATATCCATGCCCATCTTCCTCCACTTTATATGGGACGCCGCCACAGCATGGCCTGACAAGCGGTGCATCAGTGTGCGCCTGGGATCCGAACCCAGGCCGCCAGCAGCGGAGCATGTGCACTTAACCGTTACAACGCGGGGCTGGTCCCTAACATTAATTATTAACTCTCTGTGATGATATAAACTTTCACTATTTTACCCTTAAAGAAAGATACTTTCGGTTTTCTGAATTTTCACCAGTTTATCGTCGTTTTGCCCAATGTGCTTATGAGATCATTGAGGAATATTAATAAGAATCGAAAATTAAAACAACACAAACAAAATGTTTTATTAAATTGGAGTGGCGTACAAAACTATGAAGTAATTGACTATTAATAGAAATATCTAAGGTGATGTTAGAAATTCTACATCTTCGTCTTTGCCAACCACATATTAAGTAGAATTTACCAAACAAAAGGACAGTAATTTTGTGTTCGAGTGGTGTCAGGTGTGTATGTGTGTGTGTGTGTGTGTTAGACCGAGAAAGAGACAATAAGAGCGAGAGAGAGAACGAGGGAGAGAATCTAAGAATCCAACAAGAGGACAAGCTTTACTTCCAAGTCAATACAGTGTATTAGCAGAATCTTCACTGTGATAGATGTTCAGTTAATAAGGTGCTTGTTAGATTTTTACACGGTTTAGGAATTTCATAAAAATCTTACAAAAGCATTTGGTCTTTAATAAACAAAAAATTGCAAAGATTCAAGCCAAATATATGCAGATTTTGAAGTACCAAGAGACTCGAAAGGCAGCTGTCATGAACATATATGGATCTCAGAACATAATCTAAAAGTTACTTTC